GGGTTTAGGGTTTAGGGCGTTCAGGAGTTACGGGCTTCCACGCAAGCATTGAAGCCCATGAGAGCCCACTGGACTTTTTAAACGGAAAATTGTCTTTGAGCCGGGAAGGGTTCACAGTTCCGGGTTTTAAGACCTGATGTAGAGTTCAGGCTCAGGCTTCGCTTTGCGCACGCCTCAGTTGCAATAGTTGCAACAGTATGCATCTCACGTAGTAGCAATGCTTGGGTTCAACTTTACATGCTCCTGACGCTGGGAACCGTCAGGAGCACAATGGCGGATTTTTCAGGCCCTTCTTTGCGAACTGTTTACTGTGCAACGTGAGGTAATGTACTGCGGAAGCTTATACATGCTGCGGTATTCCTTGCTTATCCATGAAAAGCTACCTCATACTCTTACCTGAAACACCCCAGTAGTAGCTCCCGCACGTTTCCCAGGGCTTTTTACTGGAAACCGATGATTCTTCAAGGGCCATCGGGAGTTTGTTTTTGAACCGTGGGGCTTGTTCCAGGCAGAGGTTTGTGTGATGAGGGGGTTGGAGTGGTAGTGGTGTGTCAAAATTGAAGTGTCTTGTTTTTGGTTTTGGAGCGAGGTCCTCACCTGAACACTACACCCTGACTTGCTGGGGGTCAGCAGGGAATANNAGGGATTATATTCAGTATTCCCTACTAGCCGCCAGGAAGCTAAGCTTAGTGCGTGGCCATTTCAGCTTGTCCTGTTGCTTCCCAGTTCTGGTGGCAGTGCGCGATCTTCTCGTGGCTTGCGGCGGAAGCCTTCTGGCCACTGAGCATGCAACTGCGAGTTCCCAAGATCCCGAGTGTAACAACCTGACTTCGCTAATCCTTAAATTACTGGTGGCTAGAGGCAAGAGCGGGAAAATCCCTGTATAATCCTTATACTATCCCGATATAGTATATTCTCTTATTCCCTACTGACCCATGACAGGCCTAGGCGTTCTGAGACCTCAAACCCTGAACCCGTTACCCAAGCCCTGTACACCTTTGACAAAAAATCCTGAACCCTGTCTGCCCCCCAACCCACTTAACTTGCTAGAAGCCCCAAAGCCCCTAAATCCCAAAGCCCCAAATCCCAACCCCCCAAAAACCTAAACCCTACCCCCTTGAAGCCGTAGAATTGAGGCAACTGGCTCAAGCCGCCAACCGTCCGCTGGGTGCCCAAGAAGAGGGGCCTGCGCCCGATCGTGACCATGGTACCCGGGCTCCGCTTGGAGGTAAACATAGGGTTTAGGATTCAGTGTTTAGGGTTTAGGGGTCCATGGATACTTGTAACCCGATTTTGGGTTTAATAGCTTTAGAGATTTCGGGGTGAGGGTTAAAGTTTAGGGCTTGTGGGTGTGGGGGAATCATGAGGCACTTAAGATCCCTAGTGACAGGTTTAAGTAGATCAGAGGTACCATGGACCGCCAAGTTCTGGAAGGAATGAAAGGAGAAGCTTACGGATGCTACAAATGGAGGTAGTGGGTGGCTTAGGGTTTTGGGTACTGGGTTCGCAGTTTCGGGGGTAGAGTCTAGGGCATAGATTCTGATGCTTGGTTTTCAGAGTACAGGTTTTCGGGTATAGGGTTTCGGTTCTGGGTTTTCGTAGAATACGTCGGGTCTGCTAAAACGTTTAGAGCAGGGATTGTGTTGAGAAAGTCTTTCTTATAGTTGTTAGAATCATGACCCTTACAGGCTTCAGGCTTCGAGTTTGATCGCAGTGGAGGAGCATTGGCGTGCCAGTAGTCAGCATTCGGCATGTATTGTTCCAGGCGATTTTTTTTGGTAGCTCTGGATGGATCAACTTGTGGTGGGGGAACTACTAAACCTGAAACCCTAGACCCTAAACCCACAATAGTAAAAAGGAAGCTGGCACTTGGCACTGTCCAAACATGCCCTACACAGCCCATTACTTACTTATCGCATGTCATACAACATCCCACCGTATTGGGCCTAAGGTTTATAGTCCCCCTTAAGTAGATAGAATATGGCTTTGGGTATAGTACAATAAGATCCCCATATGCCGCATATTCTATCCCTAAACCCTAAACCCTAAATAGTAGTTTCCATTTTCTTTTCCATTATCCGAATATATACCACTATATAACCCCTATATAACCCCCATATAACCCCTATAATCCCTGTAGTTTCCATTTTCTTTTCCATTATCCCAATATATTCTATCTAGTGGGGGGGCTATAGGCTTCAGAGAGTTTCTTCTGGCAGCAGAGGCCAAGTGGGCCGCCCGTCAGGTGGCCTTGACGCAAAAGGCCCAGCGTCAGGCTGGACAGGGCAGCAGGGTACTGGGTTGCTGATAAGGAACTTAATTAAGTTACCATAATGGGTATATATAGGGATAATGGAAAAGAAAATGGAAACTACTATAATGGGGTTATATAGGGTTCAGGGTTTAGGGTTTAAGTTACCATAATGGGTATATATAGTCAATAATAGGGTTTCCCCTATATAGTAACTTGATTTAAGTTCCTTAACAGCAACCCAGGGTATTGAGGGTTTGGGGTTCGGCAGGGTATTGAGGGTTTACGGTTCTGGGATTATGCTTTCTGTTGGGAATGGGGGAATGGTTTCTGGAGGCTACGCAGGAAACAGATGGTAAGATACGTGTGTATATATATACACATATGTGTACGGCTTAGGGTATATAGGGTTTTTCGTTGCGGGTAAACTTGGCTTGAAGGTTTTGGGTTTTTCCGACTAATTGGAGGTTACCCTTGGGATCCCAGGGACCCTGGGGATGCGTGGGGGCTTCGGGGGATGTAGGAGACTGATCTGTCAGAATGAGGGGCGACTGCATGGTCTCTCATGATGAAAGCTGCCATGCTTTTTGCGGGATCTTCAGATGTGCGCAGAAGGTACTAGTAGCAGGAAAGTCTATTTGTAATCTATTTGGACTGTTAGTCTTGCTATGGGACCTGCTACCTCGCCGGCAGGTGCTGCCAGTCCTTGCACACCTCCGCGCGCAGCATCCCAGCATCCTCGGCCATTCCCTCTTGAGCCAGAATGAGGTCCATGCGAGGCTTGTGGCGGCCTTCGAAGCCCTGAGGCGGTCTGTGCCACAGGGCCAGTCACAGCTGAAGCTCTTTGTTGCTGTGGCTGACTTGCGGAACTGCTATGACCGTATCTGTACTGTCCTTAGGAATTGTTTTTAGTTTTTGTTATAGTATACCCCTAAGGAAATATTAAAAATTAGTATTTAGGTCTAAGGAAACTACAGGTATCAAGCATGATCCTCTGCTGGGTCGAGTTGCAGCCCTGCCCCTGGCACAGAACTACAGGATCACCAAGGTGCCTTGGCAGGATGTTGAGTGATATTGGGGTTATATAGGGGTTGTATTGGGATAATGGAAAAGAAAATGGAAACTACAGGGATTATAGGGGTTATATGGGGTTATATGGGGGCTATATAGGGGTTACATGGGGGTTATATAGTGGTTATATTGGGATAATGGAAAAGAAAATGGAAACTACTATAATGGAGAATCAAATGGAAAAGAACATGGAAAATGAAATGGACATTGGGATTATTGAGCATGCGGAGGGCCAGGAAGAAAACACTTGCAACTCTCCAACCCCGTTTGTTCGCACAACTCCGTCAGTCCTACTGGCTTCTTTCCTGGCCATGTTCAGCTGGCAGTTGGAGATCTGAGAATGCCTTTCGAGCACTGCAAAGCTTCAAAGCGATTTAAGCCTCATAATTACTTACACCCAAGGAAGGGTCCCCTAATTGTTGGCAGTCCTCATCCCCATAAGCCAATGGATCATCCCGCTTTCCATTTCATTTTCCATTCTCTGTCTTCATTGTTGGGATAATCTCCTGAACCCTAAACCCTAATCTTAAACCCTAACTAGTAGTTTCTACTTTCTATTCTCAGACACACCAAGGTAGTAGCAAAGCGAGCAATGGGAAAGCCCACGAACAGTTCCCAGCGGATTCTGGATGTGGCTATGGTCCAGGGTGAGCAGCTGCTTGCTGCTGCTTAGTAGGGACCTGAGTAGGATACAGGGACCATTCTACGGGAGCCCATGGGGATTTCAGATCCTCCCCCAGCTACTCCTATTAGTATTACTAGCGCCGGTCCGAGCAATGCCGAGGAAGCACGGCTCAGACAGCGGCATGCGGATTAGCAAGTATTTGATGAGTGCTGCTAGTGTTACTAGTTCTACGCCACCACCACCACCACCACCACCACCACTACTATTATTATTATTATTAGGTTTACTACTACTACTACTACTACTACTACTACTGGCGCTGCTACTACGATTATGATTATGACTTATTACTACTACTACCACCGCTGCCTCTATTCCCTCCTGACCCCCTTTAAGGCTGGACGAGCTTCTCCTCTCGGAGCGTTGTCCCGCGGGCTTACGCAAGGAGCCGCTGATCATCCTACCCTCCGCCACTTACCGTAGAAGCAACATGAGCTATAGTCTAAACTCCTTAAAGGGGATTATATAGGGGATTATATAGGGGACTATTATAGGGGTTATTAAGGGGGATACTAGGAGTTCAGACTACGGCTCACATGGGTTTAGGATTTGGGGTTTAGGGAAAGTTTAGGGTTTTGGGTCCCCCATTTCCCAAAAGGCGTAGGCATATGCCTTGTTTATCAGGTCTAGGGATGATGCTGATGGAGAAGTAAATGGAACAGAAGATTGATCAACGTAGATGGAAACTGCGATTTTATTAGGGATGTACGTCAAGTAGACCTCAAAATGATATTGGTAATTACGTAGGCCCCAACAGAATCATATCTAGTCTGGCAAGACGGGGTCTGGATTCCTTCCGTAGTCCTTGCGTTCACGCCAAGCATGGGTAAGGCCAATGACGTGCTTCGGATGCCCGACGTGGTCGCCACGCTGACGGCGGCCATCCAGAGCTGCGCTGCCACCCTGGGCACGCAGCCCGACAGGACGCTCTGCAGCCAGGACCAGAGTCTGTCGCAGGATCGGTTCCTGGTGCGTGGCATTCCGCAAGGAGGCCGCTTCTCCCCCTTCCTCTGCGCTTTGCACATGGGCGGAGGCGATGCCAACTTACCGCCCGACATCTCGCGGGATCTGGAGGGATCCCAGGCCTTCTTTGTCCGCTTGGTGGATGACTTCCTTTACGTCTGTGCCGGCACCGAGCAGCCCTGCTGCAGGTTCTTGAGCAGTTTGGCAGCGAAGGACAACGCCTTTGGAGGTGAACTGAACCTGCGGAAGTGCAAGGCCAACTTTCCCCTCCGCTACTTCTCAGAGCCGCAACCGCGGTTTGAGTCTCGCAAGGCACGTCGAGTCGACACCGAAGGTGCTCGCGAAGTATCCTGGGCGGGACTCACGCTGCGGCCCGAGAAAGGCCTGCTGAATATTGGCCCAAGCAAGCCGCAGCAGCGCACGCGGGACACCCTGGCAGTCACGCATCGACGGCGCAGGCCGAAGCAGACAGTGTGGCAAGGCATCATCCGGTCCAAGCTGTTGATCTTCCTCGACTTGAAGCTTCAGCCCCTGCTGGTTGACCCGCGCCTGAATTCGGACGCATGTGTCCTTGAAAATGTGGGCAATGTCTGCAAGCTCTGCGCGCAGCGTTTTGCCTGGCTAGTGCTGCGGCGAAGCGACCTTCTTGGCAATGTGCAGCCAGCATTTGTCAGCAGGCAGTTGCTGCGACTCGCTTGGAGGGCTGCTCGCAGGGCGACGGCTGCGCGCGCAAGTAGCTTGGCTGTGGTATGCTCTCGTCATTGCTTCTTGAGCTCCAGACAAATCAGTAAAACCCCAGTAGAGTGCAGGTCAAACTTGAGGGTCATTAGAATGGGCTTCATGGGACATGATAGACCAGTTGAGACTCCACATGAGTTAAAGTCTACACTCCTGGTTTCCCCTTAATATCCCCTATAGTAGTCCCCTATATAATCCCCTATATAACCCCCCTTTAAGGAGTTTAGACTATAGCTCACATGGGGTATGGGCATCTCCATTTGGTAGCCTCGTGCCCTTCAGGAGCCGTGAGTTGCCCAGGCTTTTTTTAAGACAAGTCCACAATAACCCCTATAATATAGTACCCCAATATAACCCCTATGTTACCCCTGTATAACCCCTATAACATAGTACCCCAACATAACGCCTATATAACCCCTATATAACCCCTATAATATAGTAGTTTCCATTTTCTTTGAAGGTAGAGAAGGGTGCTCAAGGCGTAGTAGCCACCACTTTGCACATCACCTGCCTGGCACTCCTGTCCACATGCCACACATCTGCATATGAGCTATACTCCTTAAAGCGGGTTATGCAGGACATCATATAGGGAATATGACAGAGGTTATTAAGGGGAATACTAGGAGTTTAGACGATAGCTCATATCACCTTCTAGTGTTCCTTTGGAAGCATGGTACTAAGCTTTCTGACCCCTATAAGAGGCTATGAGGACTGGCGTGCCCCACTCACCTCGGCACACAACGAGTAAAACCTCAGCCGCAAGCCTAACCCTATACCCTAAACCCTAAACCCTTAACCCCTATACCCTATACCCTAAACCCTAAACCCCAAACCCTAAACTCTAAACCCTAACCCTAAACTCTAAACCCTAACCCTGGAACCCCAAACCCCCGCAACTCTCCTATGCCCCAGACCTCCTAGATTTCTCCCAGGCTCTCTAGGTCTCCCCCAGACGCCCTAGACCCCCAGAACCAATGAGTAGTATTTTATTTGGGGATACTAGGGTACCCAATATAGAGTAAGATTCTATCCTCATTTTGGGTATAGGATTTTTATCTTACTAGGTTCAACCACCAAAAAAACACTACTCAAATGCGAGCCCAGGCGTGACTGTACCCGGGGCTTCAGAGTTGGATCTCAGCAGCGCCTGCTTGCGGACCGTCCTCGTTTGGGAACGCGTTTTTTTTGGGGGTTATATAGGGATAATGGAAAAGAAAATGGAAACTACTATAGTATGATAGGGCATATCTTGGGGCTATATAGGGGTAATGGAGTAGAACATGGAAACTACCATTTAGGGTTTAGGGTTCCAGGACCCTCCTTGTACCTTTCAGATGGGGGTATGTCGTTCCTATTTAGGTCTAGCGGGAAGATGGAGGGTCTAGGTTCTTGTCTCCGGGAACAGGTGAAAAGGTATGATTAGGTTTGATTGGGGCTTAGGGTTTTTGATGTGGGGGGGGGTTCTCAAAATAGGACTACATGAAGGGACTTTTGGGATGGATGTATGGACATCATTGTAAGGAGATTAGTCAGGTCCCAACTGGATAGTCTAGGTATTGTTTTGAAAAGCTCTCCTCGCAGATATTTCTAAAAACTAGGATCCCTCGTTGAGGGGGGTTCATTGGGATTCTTTGTGTGTATCAGGGGTAGCCCGTCTTTGGGGCAGCATTTTTTAATCCCCGGACCCCTACATCTCAACCCTAAGCCCCCTACCGGAAAAAAACGATAATCCGACACCCTAAACCCCAATCCTAAACCCAAAAAGCCAAAACCCTCCCGACCCCCCATATCCTGCACCTGAAGCCCGGGGAACTCTTACTTAAGGCGGGCCTTCCTCTCGGCGCTGCGGTCGCGACGCAGCCTGCTCCTCTTTGCCGAAGGCTACCGTGCGCTGCAGCGCAGCCTTGTGCCTGGAGCAGTTTTCAAGATGCTCCTTTTGGAGAGTTTCTAAACATTTTGAACCCTGAAATAAACCCTGTTTCTTATCTTGGAACTTCCAAATCGCGCCTGTAATTTTCGCCAACTCCATATTTGCGAGTTTGACTGTTAGGATTACTGTTTCTGTAATGGAGGTTGTGACGTCGCTTAGTTTAGGATGATTGCAAGTAGAAAGGGAGCCCCAAATCCGAACCCCCAAACCCGACCCCTTAACCCTAAACCCTGTTTTGTTGAAGGTCCTAACCGTGGGCCCCTACTATGGACCCGTACCTGATTCCTGGATCGTAACTATGGGCCTCTTTTTGGGCTTGTAAGGTTTTATCGGCTATATACTAGGTATACAAGGACCCTAGGACTGAGGGCCCAACACTGGGGAGCCCATAGTTCCAACTTGAGATTCTCCTAACCCCTCAACTTAAAACTTGAATCCCTTCCCTAGCTCTGAACGCCAAAAACCAAAAGATCCCTTAACCTTAGGCCGTTTAACCCTAGTTTGTAAGGGGGTTTGTGGTGAAGATTCTAGGCAAATCTTCGCCCATCTACGGAGGCCAAGAAGGGAGGCAAAGGCCGAGGAAAAAGAAGTCTCAAGGGTTGTTAGGAGGAACCCCTAATCCCATTACCTTATATAGCCCTTATATAGGCCTTATATATACCCCCTATATAACCAGGTAGTACCCATATTACTCCCAATAAGCTACAAGGGTCCCCATTAAGGGTCCCTCCTAAAGCCCCTAGGAAGTCCAAAGAGAGACGAAGGGAGACGGGGCGGGGTTCATGGGGAGGCTCTTAGGGAAGAAGTTGAGGAGGGGTAACATGAAAGGGTAACATACCGATATATAGGGTTTAGGATTCAGGATCTAGTGTCTAGGGCTAGGCCAGGGATTTCAAAAATTCTGTGAAATATTGCCCAATGGGGACGTCCTTAGGGTCCCTATACCATAGGCACCTGTAGGCCCTCGTTTGATTTGCTTCCGCATCGAGTCTTGATTCAAAAAGATAGCGAGAACGGGAGCCCCAAGAACAGAACAACTTAGGCGGTTTAGGATCTAGGGTCAAGCAACTTAAGCCCAAGTCTGACCCCGCGAATGTCCGCCTGAATGCCGGAACGCAATGAGATTTCCCTTTTCGGGGCCACGCCCAAAATGCACCCATAGTATTGATGCCACAAATGAGATCTGTACTGGAAGGACTATCCCAAATAAGGCTCCTTTCGCTGCTTGGCACCAGCTCAAGTTGGAAGCAATCACAAATGTTTGTTAATGTTAATGATGACAGCTTAATGGTAATAATCATAAGAGGAGGGTTTGGGCTTGGGTCACCCCAACCAGCCGAAATCAGGACCCTATGACTATGCTATGTGGCTCGTATAGGGTCCTTACTATAAGGTTGGTGTTCCCTGATTGAAGACGCAGGGCTAGGGCTACGGCTACAGGCTTGCTGTTGGCATTTCAGGCAACTTCAAGACGGGGGGCTTCCAAAAGGCGACCTTTCCTAGGCCTCGTAAATTCTTCATGGATACCTTGGTACTGCCTCCGTTTTGCAACAGGATGATATCAATGACAACATAGTTGTATATAGCCCCTAGTACAATGACCCCTCGTATGGACTGTTACAGGGTGGGGGCAGCACCCAATGGATACTCTTTACGTAGCTCGCCTCAGGGACAGCTTCCTGATATTAGCCCTTGACTGTGCTATTGTCATGGAACTTAAGCTACATTACCATATTATGGGTATATAGTAAATGAGGGGGTTTCCTCATTACAGTAAGTATCTTAGGTTCCTTAACAGCGGCCCAGCTGATTTTGATTTTTGAATCCCCAGATGTATTGTGGCTCGTAGTGTTTGGGAGGAAGTAGTGCTTGGGATGTAAAAGGAAGGGCCATAATTTTCAACAATCCCCCAGCCTTGAGATCAACCATCGGTTTCTGGAAGAGAATAGTAAATGCAAGATGGGATGCTGCGGTTCCTGTGAGAGCCGTCCTTGCTGGGGGTGGGATCCGAATCTGATGTTCTGGGTAGCTGTGCTAGTTTTAGCAGCAGTATGAAGGTATAGTACCAAAAGAGAGGATTCTGGTAGTCCAACATGAATATTCCCCATTGGTCCTGAACCTGCCCACTTCGTCTTCAAGAAACCCCATGGAAGTTGCCGTGCTGCCAGGATGGACCACATGGTCGCGCATGTTGTAGACCTTTCGCTGGGGGGCCCAGGGTTCGAATAGTAGCTAAGATAAGGCTTAACTTAACCGGAACACACACAGATATGCGTATATATATATATAAAATTAGGAGTTTCTCAAACCATCCTGTATGGAATCCTCAGAAGGGAGCCAGCGCAATCCTTTTTGGGTTGCTAATATCCCCAGGGTCTCGCCTCCTTTGCGGCATTCTTTGGAGTTTCATGCACCCGCCCGCCCAAATATGTGCAATCATACATAATTTGTGTTTGGGGGTATGCGTATTCGGGGATACTATGAGTGTTTCGACGTGAGGTTGTAGGGCGTGTTACGGCTCAAGGGTATATGCGGGGAGAACATACTTGGTATGTAGAAGCTCCCAACGTAGGGGCCCGCTTAGACTCTACTTTGGAGGCTTGTGCGGGCGGTGTGTGGGATATTGGTCTTTACAGACTGGTATTTACAACCCCAGTTATCCTAAACCCCTAAAGCCTAAAACCCCCAAACCCTAAACCTTAAAGGCCTAAACCCTATAATGCCCTTTTTTCTCCAAGTCCTTTGGTCCCTACAGGCTCCGCACATACCGCGCAGCTGATCACAAATCACGGGCAGAGCACTCCTTGAGTGAGCCAGACACGGCTCGCTTTTCTTACTGGGTTGTTCGTAGGGAATAAGGGAATGTTGTATTAGGGTTTCGGGTTTAGGGTTACATTATATAAGGGTTGTATTCCCTTATTCCCTACTAAGCCCCAGTAGACTTTCCGGCATCGAACGCTCTAGTTAGGTTGAAGGGTCCAGAGTAGAGGGTTGAGGGTTGAGGGTGATGGTTCAGGTTTAGGGTGCAGGGTTTAGGGTGTAGGACTTCAGGTGAGTTTCGAAATAAATTCAGTGTTTTAGAAACAAATGGGCACTTCTTCCGAGATTTGTTGCAGTCAAGTATATATTTTTAGGTGTCATACAGGGGACGAACTCAAATTATTTCGAAGTCAGAACGTACAGTGACATTCTCGCGAGACATTCCCCCCCCTATTAATAGGTCTTGGGGGGGTGGGTTACCTTGGTTCCCACCTATTAATAATAGGTCCCGGGACCTATTTCGGGAGGGTGGGGTCACCTTCAAATAATAGGTCCCGCGCTACATGTTTAATAGGTCCCGAAATACATGTTTTCCAGTCATGTTGAATCATGTTAAGAATTAGCATCAGTTTGCACCTGGCAGAGACAACCACATTTGGCCATCAGCTGCTGCTTGGCTCATGCATGCATTGGCTACATGGTGTTGTTCTATGATGTTATATGTGTGGGATTGTGCGGGCGTATAGATGCAAAGCTGTTTTTAAGGAATGATAGCGGCTAGCGCAGTCGCGCGTCAGTGTGCGTCAGTCAATGGCAGACACAAGCACATCACCTTGCATGCACTCTTGCATTTGCACAATGGACTCTGGAGAATGGAGACTCATCTCGAGAATTCGGCAATCTGGTCGTTTGAAAGGAAAAAGTATGGCATCTTTGACGCAATTCATATGTCTACGGTATTTCTGGGTAGTGCTTGTCAAAATTTATTGTGTTGCATGCGTGACGCTGAGGAAAATGGATAGCTCCAGATGGCTCGGCCTTTGATTCTCATTCCAAAGACTATGCTGTCAACAAGAATCTCAAGGAGTCCTATCCGGGGGGGGACATAGGGTATATTGGTTGTTTACGTGGAGCACGGATTTGAACAGTCATGAAAGTAGTTGTGCGTGACTTCTTCCTGCTAGAACCCTCCTACGCCGGCTGAATTGGACAAGTATGATGAGAGGGGCTACAGAAAAGATGGGAAGGCCTGATAGGGAACGCTTTGTTGTGTTGAGCATGCCTGGAGATATCTTTCCCAAATTGCCCGTGTTGTGCCAGGGATCAACACCGGTGTCTTCGGCAGATGCTTCATCAAAGGAGCGCGGATTTGTTTCACGTGGGATTCGGGGCAGTTTTGTGAACCTTGCGTTTTATTGTTTGTGTTCGTGCTTGCGAGGAGTTGGCGCTGGCTCCTGACATGCAATCTCACTCAGGGACGGACACTGGGTCAGATTCATTTTGCTGTAGTGTTTTTCTTGTGGCGCGCTTGCTCATGTTTGCTCCATTGCGCTCCTTGCCATTCCTTGCCAGGCTCTTCCACCTATTGTTGATCCTATGGCTGAGATGGCTGAGGGAAACCAAGCAGAGGACTTTCGCCTGGATTGATGTAGGCTGCGTGGAATACCTTGCTTGGATTTGCTTGGCAGATTTTGGCAGGATGTGGGCTATCCGTCACAAGAAGATATTCGTGGGGAGATGGACTCTTGGTCAAACATGGTTAAATTGATATTCCATGACATTCCTATACATTCCCTCCCTTGTAGTATTGTGCTTGCATGCCTTTGCTGATATTTTGATCAGAAGTTTCTGCATTTCCCTGCAAGACATTGCCGGCTGCTGCGGATCACGATCCTGGACAGAAGGCACTGCGTCAAGCTGTTGGATGTTGTTGAGTGCGCGGACATCACTAGCTGGATCCCAGCGTTGTTCGTAGCATTTCGTAGCTAGAAGATGTGGCAGGATTTGTCCACGGTGGTGGAGAATGAAGTCGTTGGGGAGAAGGACTATGGTGTGCATGCGGTGACAGCGCGACATGTGTTCGCTTATCTTCGCTTCTATTGTTGTGCCATGTTGTGCCTGCTTGTTGTAAATCTTTTGACCCTTTTGAGGAATCTTCACGCGGCGTCGCATGCTGCAAGGTTTCCGAGGCATGTTGAGTGAGCGTGCATTCCAGGATGTTCTACGGGAAGGTGAGTAGTAACTTCTTTGGGGATACCATAGCCCACCAGATAAAATTAAGGTTTTATCTCATATCTTATCTTTCCTGGCAGCATACTGTTCCAACAGGTTTCGTAATGGAGCGCATCCGATGGATGCAATGATTCCACGTATCATTTTATTGGGTTCAACCCTCAAAATACTCAGGTGGTCCGACTAGGCAGGAGACCACTGTAGCTCGTAATCCATGAGTGCAAGATTTGGGGCTATGCACGCCTCGGACGGGGTATCTAGATTTCGAATATTTGAGACACATGCCATCACATGCCATAAGGGTCCAGAAGCTCCGGTGGAGGCCAGCTGTTGCGATGAGTCTCATACGGTGCCTGCTACCGTTCCTCTGGAGGCAGGGTCCATGATGCCAAGCGTTGCCAAACCCTGTTTTCCGCGCACATATGTTTTGATCTGTTTTGTGTGGTGAAGGTGTAGGCCTTCCCAAGTGTTCAGGCATGTTGCCACCGTGTTGTTGAGCCTACGTCTAAACTGTTCTAAGCATTGATAAGCATTGCAAGCTTTTGGTTCTCTGCATCATCTCATATCATCCCTCTAATTAATCATCCCTATCACACTCCCTTATAATCCCTTATATCATCCCGAAAAAACCTTTTGGGAGTTTAGACTATAGCTCAAGTGCTGCGCAGGCATTGGAGCCAGCGCTGCCCGTCTTCAAGGAGATGACAGAGGAGGCACGCTCACGAATACCCGACTGCGAGCCAAAATCTTCACTCCTTCCAGGGTTGCTGGGTTATCGTAATCTATCATATATTATCATAGGGTTCCTTCATGATATTTCATGATCCCTGAGGTTTGATCACATGCCCCCATATGCCCCCAGAAGCATCTCCAGAGACGGCTTGTGACAACCCGCCGCAGGTCTCAGCTCCCGTTTGCCGTGATGGCCAGGCCGCTTGCGGTCACCTCTGTTTTGTTCTGGGATGTTGTGGGTCATGTGTGCTCGCGTGTGATTGCCATGGGTGACCAGACGTGACCATGAATGTTCAGTTCTGTCCGAAGCAAGATGGGCCTGAGTTTGAACATGGTATGCTGATGTCAGCTGCTCTATGCTGCTCCACTTTGCTATGTTCTGTTGCTAGCGTAGATATTTCCCCAAAAAGAACATTTCTAAGGCTGCAAACTTTGGGTCCTCCGGTCCTGTAAGTCCTGCGTGTCCTTATCATCCTTCTTGTTGCGTTGCCTGCGCTGCCGTGATGTTCGTTCTACTTCGAGCGCTCATTTTCCATGCGCCGCTGATTCTGGCGGTGCCCGACCTTGTGCCAGATGTGCCCTAGCTGCCATAGAGCTCACCGTAGCATTCACATTTCCGACCCAATCTCTTGTCATATCTTGTTCATGGTGGAATCTTGTTCAGCGTGGACTGATGCTGTTGTGGCCAAGCAAGGACGACACGGCGACAAGTTTGGTGGAATCATCTTGGTTTAGAGCGAGTCAGCACATGGAAGAGTTGGAGGCGTATATGGCTGGCCTGAACCGTTCTGGGCTTACTCTGCTCTGTGTGTGCAGGATAACTGGCGTGATCCAATGTGTTGAATATGAGGGCTAAGATGCTAGCAATGTCATCTTCGAAGCTTCTACCCCGTTATACCCCATATACCCCATTGCTGAGGTGAGAACACTGTGCATTGCATAGACCTGTTCGGACTTTCTCGGACTGTCATGAGAACGTGGCAGCGCCGAGGTTACCAGGCGCTGTGCTTTTGGGCGAAGTAGTATAAAGTAGCGTGGAGTAGCCGTACAGAGGTGGACGCTCACGAATGCAGGTTGCCAAACCGGGTAAGGCTCCACTTGTTCTTCTTGGAGTGTTGCTATTCTTATTATTTCTTGTCCCATGTCGTCCCCTATTTGCTATTACTTAGATTACTATATGTCCTTGTAGTAGGCTGTGGCGTACGACATCAAGCTGGACAACCGCGCGATGGATGTCACTGGAAAGAGAGGCTTCCTCAATCTCCTCCGTGTCTAGCTTCAATATGCTTCAATAGACATGGGGTCATGGGGCTTAGGGTGTACAGGGTTCAGGAATGTTACGGGATATTACGGGAAATAGGCTGTCGGGTTGAAGGGGAAGGCAGGGAATAAGAGCTGGTAGGTGTGTGTGATTTGGGAGACATGTCAAGGTATTGCCATGCGTTGTGTTGACGGCGCTCTGGTCCTGGGGGGCCCTCCATGCTCGTTACAGGTCTGGATGCCGCTCAGACGCATTTTTGTAGACGAGTTACAAGATCATTTGCGCTGGGGATTGCTGATGGCTTCGTACACTAGGCTAACTATCGAAGCCGCGCTTTGTGATGCTGGCAGGTCAAGCTCGCTGCACCTCCGTTCGCACCAGAACCCGTATGGCAACACCGAAAACCAGAAGGTGAGGCTCAGCAACTTGATCGCGGAGAACACAGCTGCTTGTCAGATGCTGATGACATTGGTCGACACATATAGCCGTGGATAAAGCGTGGATGGATGCCGACGTGTTCTGAGTGGTTGTCTCTGGTTATGTTCGGCTATCAATGTCATCATATGCTAGCATTACGCATCCACAATCATCCACACAAGCAGTAGGCATGTTCCGCGCAAGGCTACCTTCTTGCAGCTGGCCTCGCGCCGCGGGTTGAAGCTGTTCTTTGTGTTGGAGCAGCCTGGATCGAGCTGGATGTTCCACATGCGTTTCATGCTTCAGCTCATCGCCTCTGTCGCTGCCGTCGAGGTCTTTACCTGGAGCCTTGTTTGGAATGATATTTGGGATTGGTTGCAATAATGGAGAGTGAGGTCTCACTAGT